TATTTACTGATGTAATTTTTCAACAACAAGAGTTACTTGCAACTAATCTAAAACTAATTAAATGGATAATAAATAAATTAAAATATAACTTATAAACTGTGAGACTGTGAGATAAAACACAAACCATTATCTAAAAAACTGCACTTATTATTTTAAATTCCTTACATGTTCCCGCTCTGTGGCTTTTGCCCTTTCATTCTGTTCTCGATCAATTAAAATGTTTCGCAATGTGCTCATAACAAAAATTCTATAAGCAATTACAAATTTTAATATTGGTCACAACTACAAAATACAGTTAATAGTTTTACATTGATAGAAGAGAATTTTCGTTCATCCACAGATTATTCTATTGTGTAGAAATACAGTTAGGTATAGCAATTTGCATTGATACATTACTTTCATTTTACTTTTGTTGCTTTCCTTCTGTTTAGTTTAGAACAGGGAACATTAAAATTATATTGTTGTAAGAACTGCCAGCATGTTGGCACCACTTTTCACGCAGTTGTCTGTCAATGCACTTCATGTGAAGCGCATTGTGAATCGTCAGCGCATTATTCGATTATCGCTGCGCCGACATCCATCAGATCAGCTAATTGTTACCACGTGTTTCGTATTTTTCAATAAATTAAATTAGCGCCTATTTATTGTTTTCTTCATAAAAAATATAACTACAGTCCACTATATTGAAGAGATGTGTGCAAACATCCGAACATAATTTTGATCATTCGTGCCGGATTCCAGAGATGTTGGAGGATTATCAAGTAAGCCAATTCCTTTTCACATGTACTCCTGTAGTGTTTTTTGATTAAGTTCAGCTTTGGTCTTACTTTAATTGTGTTAAACTGATTATATTTAAAACATTTACGTGGTAAAGATTATCCATTACCGATTTACAACTATTACGAACACGATTATTTTTACGATTATTTCACGATTAATTGTCTGGATCACGAAAAGTGTCACTGTAACTACCTAGCCAATTCGTTTTAACCCTTGAAATTAAGCCAAATTCCATTTGTCTTTCGACTGATTTGTTTAACTTGCTACAAGCCGTTCAATTAAGCAAGATTTTTAAGGTTTTATTAATTCTATTATATTGAAGGTTTTATTTTAACAATTTATAAAGTCATGACCGATATGAGTGCCTTAATACGTAAACGAGGAACCGTAAAGCACAAAATTACAAATTTTATAAAATATTTCGATCCTCTCTACGTTAAGTTTGTGGCTGAGGAGCAATTAGAGGCCAAATACATAATTGAGTTGCAGATTAGATTAACGAAGTTAGATCAAGTATTTGACGAATTTGAGTCGGTTCAAAACCAACTCCTCTCGACCAAGTTGAAATACAAAGTCAAGAAAGAGATAATTTTGAAAATAATTATTACGGTCTCGTTGCAAAGGCCAAAGAAATCTTAAAAAAGTACGAAGATAACGATTCTATTATAAGTGCGAACAGTAGGATCTCAAACAGAAACTATTCAACCCCAGAATCATTTAACTTACAGGGAATAAAATTACCGCCTATTAAATGTCCAACTTTTAATTGTGAGTTCAGTAAATGGTTAGAATTTAAGGATACGTTTGAGGCTTTGTTCCATAATAATGTAGGACTTTCGGATATACAAAAATTTCATTATTTGCGGTCATGTTTGGGGGATGAATCTTTAAAGATCATACAAAGTTTGGACTTTGCGGCGCAAAATTATAACAATGCGTGGGAACTATTATGCGATAGGTTTGATAATTCCCGATTATTAGTTAATAATCACCTAAAATCYTTGTTCGARATTCAAGCCTTGAGCAAAGAATYSTCCTCTGATTTAAGAAAATTAATAGATACARTTAATAAGCACYTAAGAGCMTTAAAAACATTGCAACTTCCCACTGAGCACTGGGATGCAATACTAATAATAATACATGGTTTCATAATACATACATGGTCTCATTAAAATTAGACAAAAACACCAATAGGGAATGGGAGCAAACTAGGACAGATAAAAAGTTGYCAACTTTGACAAATTTYWTTACTTTTCTTCAAAATAGAGCTGATTTTTTGGAAACTTTAGAGATGAACAATTTTTCAAAAAAAGTGATATGCGCTCAGAGCCCAAASGAAAACAGCGTCATTACTCGTTGYTTCTAAGCGATAACGAAAAAAGGCAAGATTCAAGATGTAACTTTTGTAAGCAACAACATTTAATTTACGCGTGTGATAAATTTTTGAAATTGTCTATTTCTGAAAGATGGAATCATGTAAAGAAATTGGGACTTTGCTCCAATTGTTTATGCTATGGACATTTTAGTARCAAATGTGGTTCAGGCTGTTGCAAGTTCTGTTCAAGTAAACACAGTTCCCTATTACATTATAAAAAACCTCGAATGGAGGTAGCGAATGGACAATTTAATARWCAACCTGGAAGTTCTAGACASCAACATGATTCTGAGAACAGTGGTTTTAACAATTCRCAGCAAGAAATTCCTTTCAATGGTTCTTCTGTGGTTTGKGCTAWTAAAATGAYRAACTCCAATTATATATTATTATCTACYGCTGTTGTTTACGTCCAAAACAAAGATGGACATTTTCATAAGGCAAATGCACTTCTTGATTCAGGAAGTCAATGCTCTTTTATCTCTGAGTCGTTKTGTTCAAAAGTGGGTTCAGTTTTGCAAAWTGTAAAAATGTGTGTATCAGGCATTAATAATTCCACGTCAAGTACAAAATCAAAATGTGAGATATTTATTAAATCAASAATKAGCCCATTCAAAAGGARTATCGCATGTTTTGTAGTTCCAAAAATCACKGACAATCTCCCTTCATACTCAATTGATACTTCTGGTTGGTCTATTCCAAGTGACATTCCTCTGGCTAATCCTTCTTTTAAYGTGCCTCAWGTTGTGGATTTATTGTTGGGTGYTGATGTATTTTGGGAAATTCTTTTAGATGGWAGGATTAGTTTGGGAAAGAACAAGCCTCTTTTGATCAMCACTGCYTTCGGTTATGTCGTCRCAGGTAGTATASCAAACTCTATKTTGAAACAGCAASTCACTTGTAATTTTTTGCAACAAAATGATCTCGAAAAATTCTGGTTGGTTGAAGAGCTTCCGCATGACTCACAATGTCTAACAATGGAAGAGGATATTTGTGAGGAATATTTCAAAAAAACTGTGTCTCGTGATAATTCCGGGAAATTTATCGTTCCAATTCCATTAAAGGAATCGCATTTTGAACTAGGAGAATCCAAACAAATGGCCATTAAGAGATTGATTCTTCAAGAAACTAAAATGAAACGTAATGAAGGACTCAGAGAAAAGTATGTTTTATTTATGAATGAGTATGTGGAGCTGGAACACATGAGAAAGTTGACAGAGGTTAACGAATGTAATATGTTTCGTTGTTTTTTACCTCATTTTCCAGTAATCCGAGAACAGAGTCTCACAACCAATGTTCGAATCGTATTTGATGGTTCTTCTAAAACTACATCAGGCAAATCTTT